CGATTCAAAATTATGTTCTGCCTAGTCCCTACAGGAAAAAGCAATAACCATCCAGTCTCGATTCCTATAACCAGGTCCCAATCCAATCTTCTTGAGCAAAATCAATGAATTCTCCGGTTTGGGTCCCCCATTACGATAACGTCTTTCCAGAAGAGATTCCAAACTGGGGCAAACAATTGCATTGATTCGATATCGAATGCAGATGGAACCCTTTTCTTTCCTTGACTTGTTTGTTTTTGGAGGTAAGTATCGAAAAAAGTCACTATATTTTCAATATTTCAACCCTTCAATGCATGATTTTTTATTACCGCGAAAAAAAAAAATTATATGTTCCTCTAGAGGATGATCACTAATGTGTGAAAAATAATAAAAAAAAATGATTCAGCAATTTTCATTTTTATTCTCGAAAAATTTTGTTTTCTACAAACGTCAAAAAATGACAAGGTTCGCGCATTGATAACAAATTGCGAAGTGACACTTTTTTTCAGTTTCCTACGTTACCATGATACCTTGCACATAACAATGCGCGAAGTGAAACAGAGCGCGAAGTACCTACTTCGCGCATTGTTATGTAAAATATATGAGATATTTATATTTCAACTTTATGGTCCTCAATCGAGCAAACATCCACGAAATCATTTATTTATGAATGTTCAACAATAACTTTGTTATACCTCTTGGAGTGCACGAAAGAAAATTCCAATCATGTTCGTGGAACATCGTGCGTACCTATAGGGAGGATAGGGGGAGGCCCTTTTAGCCAGTTCAACACTATTTTCCATATCAAGCTAAGCATATTTTTCTCGATATTTTTACTTTAGAACTATATTTTTTGACGTTTGTAGAAAAAATTTTGTTAGCAACTCGAGCGCGAAATACTTTGGTCATCTCGACTATTTTTTTAACTCGGCTATGCCACGTTAAAAAAATCAAATCTCGATCACCAAAGTAGCATTTCGCGCTCTAGATACAAACATAACTATATGTTGTTTATTTACAACATTGTACAACTAATCATTTCTGTTAAACCATATTTGTATGTGGAACCCATCTAAACAAGGAGTACGTTTGCACATTCTTGTTAACAAACAACAATGAATACGTATATTGCATAATGTTATAGAGAAACGATAATAATAAATCATAAGTACTGTCTGTAGGTTAATCGAGGTGGTGGTACTTTCATTATTCAAGATTTTTTGGGATATTCTCTCCTCGTCTCTATAAAATAAAAATATGAATACTATTTCAATATACGTGTAATGTTCAGAGAACATCGTGAGAAACAAGGGAAATAAGGTAGGAATTGGTGTTCTTCTTGAATTTCTGGAGGGAATATGCCTCGGGAGACACCTCCCTTGGCGATGTGTTCCAGAGCCTCGCTGTTCGTTGGATGAACGCGTCTTTGGAAAGAGATGTTCTGCAGGTCTCCAAAGTGATCACGAAGGGATGCGAAGCCTCAACTCGACGGGTTAATCTCGCGGGGACTGCCAAGGGAGAAACAATTGTTGATATTTCAGAAGAGCATCGTCCATGAAAATATCTATAAAATAGAGCCAAATCGCCAACTTCCCTACGGTGTTTCAGAGAAGTGAGTGAGTTTGTGAGCGAGGCATCACCCATGAGACGAATTGCCCTTTTTTGGACAGAATCCAACAGTTTCAGGGTATGTTTGGGTGCTGCACTTCAAATATGGGAACAGTATTCCAGTACAGGTCGGATCTGTGCCTTATAAATCATAAGCAGCTGACTGGAAGTGATATAGGCCCTGGCCCGAAACAGAAATCCAAGTTTTTGGGATGCACTTTTAGCAATTGTTCTCACGTGATTTTCCCAAGAAAGGTTATTGCTGATAGTAATACCAAGTATCGTAATGGATGTCTTCAAAGGTATGGTAACTCCTTAAAAACTTATGTTGGGCACAGTGAGATCGGCTTTTCTAGAGATGATTTGCCCCAAAATGTCACTGCGTTCAAAGAATTTTCCTATCAGAGAGTCTGAAAGGAAAATGCACTAGCTTGTCACTCTTGTCAGTGACAATTTGCATCGAAAAAGGTTCGGAGAAGAGAAATCAAGGTATATTGAAAAAAAAAATGTGTTTTCACTTATCTTTGGACGTTTCGGGAACGAATCTGCTCCCGTTTCCAACATAGAATTGGATTTTTTGCATGGCAATCGTTGACGTTAGTAATCAAATGAGTTAAAGGATGTTTTCATTAATTATTCTTGAATTTACCATTTCCATTTTCAGATTTCAGTAGTGAATACCATGTTCTGTCCATGTCAACTGAACAGGAAGCACTGCTATTGTCTCCGTTCAGAAGAATACCAGCAGATTCAGTAAGGACGAAGGAACATAAAAACAATATAATGAAAAGACACACCGAGAAATCGAAACTAGTTCAACATATCCTTACTGAAGATGGATAACATATGACAGAGTGGAATAATATGGGAACCTTGGAAAAAAGATGACAACCAGAAGAGAAAAATCAAGGAATCTGCTTGCATTCTTCTGAACGGAGACAATAACATTGTTTCATGTACTGGACCAGAAGGCGGCCAGAGATTTGATGTTTGCTGGGGCCATTCTAGAGAAAATACAAGCTTGTGTTTTAGTGACGTTGAATTCAGTACTAGGTTATAGGCTGTAATTTCAGCAAGATCTTCATTGTCAGCGTTGACCTGGCTTCGTAATGAGTTCTTAGATCTTTGAATGACGTTTCTTACTGGATTATAGCTCGTCTCCGACGAAACTTTGCGATGCCACCACGTTTATCTTGAATCAATTCCTATCTTTATTTTGTTATGCACCTCCACATCAATAACTGATGACTTTCTGATTCATGTTCTTACTCTAAGATTACGACACTTAAGATGTTATGGGTATTTTATTATGTCATAAAACTTATTCCATTTTCTGTCTTCCTACTAATTACCCATTCTGCGGTTAACTGCGATTTTTCATTTCGTATTTAATGTTTTTTGATATGTAGATGGTCTTTCGTTTCTCCAGATTAATGTATTTATAATGGATATAAAGTTTGATTTTTTGAGTATGGGACATATTCTATACAGTACTTTTGGAAAGTATTGAATAAAACCATAGCATTTTTAGCCAACCTCATGTCTTAGGAATCTCTTGAAATGGATTGATTTTAATCTCAATGTGCCGCATTTGTCAGCAAAAGTCGAAGGGGATATTAAATATACAAGGTGATCTACGTTTGAGCTACGTCGTCCGCGAATGGAACATTATTGAATTTTTGGAATCTTCATGGAAAGGTGTATTCAAAAATTTATCACACATAGTGTTTGTATACAAAGCGTCCGTCGAATGTTTAATGCAAATCTCCCTGCTATTCTTCAGAACAGCATCACTGAAATGTAAGTAGTTAAGTCGTTTTTTCTACCTCTATACCTATACCTACCCATAAAATAATATTTCTGGGTTCTACCTATACAAACAATTGTGAAGATTAAAGTTCGTTCAAGGCTTCCAAATTATATATACAATGAGTGAAACTATACAGGGTGTCCCTCCGGGAACTGCATCGATCAAATTATAGAAAACCATAGGAGGGCCGGATTTGAAAATTTGGGAGTCCACTATTGTTGATAAGTGCTATCCGGCTAAAATATTTCGAAGATTGTGGCACTTATTCCGGTTGTACCGGATCTCAACATGTTTCATGTATAATGTCCTATACCCAAGTCTCACCGTTTTCGAAATATTTCAAATTTTAAGTTGAAAATTGCGTTTGCAGACCGAAAACTATTTTTTTTTTATTTCTGGACATGATCATTTATTTTCGATTGTATATCGATTTATTTGTAGGCGAGGACCCAGTTCAGTAGAATTTCGATATCAATTCGATTACAGTTATACAGGGCGTTCACCAGAAAATGATATAGATCCGGTTGAAAAAATTATTTCAACTCAATTTTTTCAAATGGAAACCCCTCAATTTTATATTCTCCTTCGATTCGGCATCAAAAATGAAGCTAACTTTGAATTAGGTTATCTATGCATATACTCAACAGTTTTCGAAATATTGGCGATTTAACATGTCTCAGTTCCAGAAAATCTTGTATTCTTGAGTTCAATTATTCTTAGTTGGCCATGGCTCCCGCAGTTGCCTTGGAAATAATCAACTACCACGGAAATGTACTAGTAATCAATCATGCCGGTTAGTTTGAATAATTCGAATGAAGATTACTTAATAAATCTATTTATTATTTATGGCGAATGTAATAATAATCTCAAGAACATGTGAATATTTGCTATTTGGTATCCGCAGAAGCAGAAGCCCTCACAAAATACTGTTAAACAAATTACAGAAAATTTCAAAAACATTCAATCTCTGCCAATATCAAAATGTAGATGAAGAAATTCTGAAACAATTCGAATAAAAGAGAACAATTAACGATATTGCGAGGTAAGTAGGTATACAAAGATTATTTGGTCAGTAAATGTTCGAATTGGCACCCTTCAACTTCCAAATATTTTTCACATCTAACTAATAATAATTCTTGATGTGTCGATTTTCGTATTGAATCGGGTCTAAGATTCTCAAATGAATTCCCCACTCGATGCATACAATCTTCCAAGAAGGTAGTCAATTGAGTTTTATAGACTTGATTTTTAATTGTAGGTAGGTATCTAGGTATGTAAACAATAACAATAATAACTGAGCCACTTATCGTCGAATATCTATTGAAATATCTGGGCGTTTTCAAATTTTTCCAGGTTTTTTTTTTTCAGTAAATAATTGAGAAATGAATCAAATAAGGAGCAAGCCCACAATTCAACAATTAACATAATGAAGGATAGGTGGTTGCAACGATGCGAAAGTGTAAGAAAAAATCCACCCTAGAAGACCCATTTACGATAAGCCTGCTTACGACTTGTGTCTCACAATAGTGGGATGCATAATAAGCGACTTCACCAAAATCTGAATTTTATATGCCGCGGCCGGCAACATTGCTTCAAGACTCACCTCTTCAGCAAACTCAAAATCTCCGTCAAATTTCCTTTTCCTCTTAGCATCGCCACAGCAAATCAGCGCCACCAGTACAACCACCAAAATGGCCAAAATCGGCTTCATTTCGCGATTTCTCGAGCGAAAAACACGGACTTTGAAACCTGACTAAAACAGTCCAAGAATTGCCGTGTATTTCCCGACCTCCATTGGTGTTTGACAGCGTTTGTTTAGCGCGACCTGTTCTCTTCTTCAGCTATCTAGTTGGCCTGGCTTGTCTTCTTTGGTTCGTTCTTCGGCAGCGTTGCCACGTCGGTTTCTAGAGTGTCGCTGATTGAGGCTGAATGTAGGAGAGGGTGCGGTCGAAGTGATACGGGGGTGTGGAAAAGTAACAGGGAAATCGATTCGTTCCACTGGCCTACGCGAATGTAGGAACGCCAGGAACTGTTTTTCTCCATAAAAAAAGGATCGTGATCATTATTTTATGTCGCCTCGTATAAATAATTTCTAATTCCGAATTCGGATTCTCTTTTATCGCTTAGAGCGCACGAGAGGGATTCCCTATAATGTTCAAAGAACATCGTGCGTTCCTAGGGAGGATAGGGATAGGAGGTAGGTATTGGAATTTTTTTTGAACTTCTGGAGATTATATGTTGTTGGGAATACTTCCTCAGGCATCAATGAATTCCAGAGCCCAGCCGTTCTATGGATGAAGAAGTTTTGATAAAGTGCTGTTCTACATCTTTCGAGGTTGACAACGAAGGGATGTGCCGACTGGGCTTGTCTAGTTCGTCTGACTGGTATTGCTAGTGAAGGGATGATAGCAGAGATTTCCGAAGAACATTTCCCGTGGAAGTATCGATAGAAAAGTGAAAGGTCGCCGACCTTTCTACGGTGTTCCAATGATGTCAAAGAGCGAATGAGTGTGGCGTCACCCACCAGGCGGATGGCTCTTCTCTGGATGGAATCTAAGAGCATCAGCGTATGTTTCGGTGCTGAACCCCATATGTGGGAGCAGTATTCTAGAACAGGCCTGTATCTGCGCTTTGTAGATCGTAGTCGGAGTATCAATTTGAATCGTACAGGGTGTTTCTTAACCTCTCAGGCAAAATGAAAGCATCTACGTTTTCCACTCAGTTTTTTTATGAAAATTTAGAATATACTTTTCTCTTTAAATTTTTGTTAAAATGTTATTCAATTTTTTTTTCAAGCAGCCTGTATTTCGAAAGAACAACGCCTGCACACACAGAAAATTCTGGCAGATGAATCCATCAAACTTTTGCAGTTTGAAAATCGTGGTACTTTTGGATATCATCATAGTAAACTGCAGCTCGACAATAATGTAATGATATTCCCTTAGAAGGGCTCTAGAAACATCAGCAGGAAGGCAGGAGTACAACGATCATCATGTAACATGCATCCCAGATTGTTCTCCAACCTCCCAAAGATTCCTACATGCACCAGCATATTTCCGAGCACTCAATATATGCCGCGGTGACAAATAAGGTGACAGAAGATTCTGGAAAGTTCTCAAAACAATCGATGGAACAATTAGAGAGAGAGGTATTCTTCTAAGAAGCTTATTCTAGAACAAACAGAAGGGAACGGAAGATCATTCGAGAGCGTTCGAGAAGCAAAGCCTACCAAGGGATCTCATATATATATAGTAATCTCGTCATATAAGACCTCGTGTATCTATAGCTCATACAGATCTATTACACTCAATGCGAATTGCACTACATAATTACCATTGCTCGGGCTGTGGAAGTCATCCACCTGAATTTACTTCGTATTATTGTATAAATTGAAAAATTCAATGATGTCCATAATAATATATTGAGAACAACTATCACAAAACATTTAATATACCTGAGAGATGGTTAGGAGTAAGAGCCATAGAATATTCCTATGGCAAATTGTTTTTCAGAGCCTTATTGTGGGTTATGCTGTCTATATATACATATAATACTGAAGATTATACGATAGAACACATGTTTTTTTTCGATTTTCCAGTAAATTTCATTAGCCGGTCGGTATGCATATATTTTTGGAGGTATAAATTTTACGATGATGTCCCAAGTGAAATAATGATCTTTTACACATCTCAGAAAATGATAAGTCCTTCATATCTGTTCATGACTTTCACTAATTTGGATACGAGAAATCTCAACATTCGTGAATCTTAGACGAACTCTGGGTTGGTATGTATGAAAATAATGGATTATGAGTAATTATTCGTAGTTTAGATAGATTAGATACATTTTTTTGTATGAACGACCATTCAACATAGTAAACTAGACACTAGACTATTCAGAGTATCCAGAAATACGAAACTATACGCAGCTATAGCATCGTCCACAATATTGGTGGACGATGGCTATAGGTTTGTAGGTATATACCAGGTAGGTATGTAGATAAGGTATTCTATACTCATAACATACCATGGCAAGATAAAATCTGTTTCATTATATCTATGCCTACTTATTATAACCTTATCATTTCAGATATAGGTAATTCGATATCATCGATAATAATCATAGACCATCATATTGAAGAAATGAAAACTTGATTAAGCAGTTTTTCAGGTTCATACCATTATATATATAGGTAACATAATTACTTACATTATATAAGCATTTGTTGGATTATATTTTGGTTTAACTTCGAATTTTTTATATGATTTCAGGAACAAGGTGAAAAAATCCATAAAACTTTTGAAACACTCCGCCTACGTAGATACATACAACAAATATCATCAGTTTTCCAATCCAAATATTTCCAAATATTGCTAAATTGCTATTTAACATGAATGTATTCTTAATGAATTCATTGAAAGATGGCTCGGGTCTGAAATATATCGGACGAGTTTTGTAAATATGGTCCGATTCTATTCAAAATTGGTTTCTGTGGGTTTTCGGGGACGGAGATTATGGTTCTCCCGTCAGAATTTGAAAATTCGGGCGGAATTTGGAAATTCAAGATGGCGGAACCAATATGGCGGACGAGTTTTGTAATTATAATCCGATTCTTTTCAAAATTGGTATAGTATATCCAATATCAATTGCAGAATATCCGGAACTGTGCGGCGTCGGCGTGTTTGAAGTTCCCTTTGAAGTGGCGGCACTAGACTGCAATTGTTTTTGGATAAACTATACCGAGGGGTCTTCGTGATAGGGGATTATGATTCCTTCGTCAAAATTGAGAAATTCAGGACGATTTCATTCAAATTTGGTATCTGGAGATTCTCGGGGTCGGAGATTATGATTCTCTCGTCAAAATTCAAGATGGCGGACCCAAGATGGCGGACGAGTATTATAATTATGATCCGTCTCTCTTCAAAATTATCATCTGGGTGTTTTCGGGGTCGGAGATTATGATACTTTTGTCAAAATTTGGAAAGAACGGGATTTGGAAATTCAAGACGGTGGAACCAATATACCGGACGAGTTTTGTAATTATATACCGATTCTATTCAAAATTCGTAAGTGGGCGTTTCAGGGATCAAGCATTTTGATTTCTTCGTCAAAATTAGGGAATTCAAGATGGTAGATCCAATATTGCGGACGAGTTTTGTAATTATGTTCCGATTCTATTCAAAATTTTTATCTGGGGTTTCAGGAGTCGGATATTATGATTCTATTGTCAAAATTTGAAAATTCAAGTGATATAATAAAAAGAAGTTGAAATTAATGGTGGTTTGAAAAACTAAAGGAACACGCTTTTATTGATAGCGAAACTAAAAAGAAGTAGTAAATGAAATAATAATAGTGTCTTGATAAATATCGAACTGGAAAGATATTTTCTAGAAATAATGTATATAGCAAAACAACGTTTGCGAGGTCTGCTAGTTTTTCAATAAACTGATTCCTTATCCGCCGCCTCTGTCCTAGCATCAGGGAAGGCAGAAAGCAAAAGAGCACACGAAGACAGAGATTAGAGCGATTAGACAGATAAATAATGATAAATCGAATGAATCCTGCGAGGTCGCGAAACGCGAAACATACTCATCTCGCCCCTACCCAGCGACATCGGACATTGATTTGATATTCGGCGGTCCTTCCCCTTCCACTTCCCCCTGATCCTGCACCGCACAAGGACCTCCTCGGGCGCACAATCTCCGGCAGGAAATGGAAGAGCAACGTTGCCGGATCGCCTGGCAGGAGGATTTCTCCGAATTATCGATGATTCTGTTTTATTGAAGTAAATACACTTGGCGAATGGAGTAGCACAATCTCTGGCAGGAATTGAACGAGCGGCGTTGCCGGATCGCCTTGCAGGAGGATTTCTCCGAATTATTGATGATTCTGTTTTATTGGAGAAAATATACTTGGCGAATGGAGTAGCACAATCTCCGGCAGGAAATGGAAGAGCGGCGTTGCCGGATCGCCTTGCAGGAGGATTTCTCCGAATTATCGATGATTCTGTTTTATTGAAGCAAATACACTTGGCGAATGGATTAGCACAATCTCCGGCAGGAAATGGAAGAGCAGCGTTGCCGGATCACCTTGCAGGAGGATTTCTCCGAATTATCGATGATTCTGTTTTATTAGAGAAAAAGTACTTGGCGAATAGAGTGGCACAATCTCCGGCAGGAAATGAACGATCGGCGTTGCCGGATCGCTTTGCAGGAGGATTTCTCCGAATTATCGATGATTCTGTTTTATTGCAGAAGATAAACTTGGCGAATGGAGTAGCACAATCTCCCGCAGGAAATAGAAGAGCGACGTTGCCGGATCGCCTTGCAGGAGGATTTCTCCGAATCATCGATGATTCTGTTTTATTGGAGAAAACATACTTGGCAAATGGAGCAACACACTCTCCGGCAGGAAATGGAAGAGCGGCGTTGCCGGATCGCCTTGCAGGAGGATTTCTCCGACTTATCGGTGATTTTGGTATCGGGTAGAGAGCCATCAGCTGCAAATTTCGGCAGTCATCTGATGATAACAAAATGGCCCAAAGGGTAGTCCAACAAACACTTTTACACTCTGATTTTAGGGCTTCAAAATAAAAATCCAGAAAAATGGCATTGAAATTTTCATCGATAACGAAATGAGATGAAATATTGAAAGAGGAATGTCCAATTTGCCTCTAAAATATTCTTATTAGAGATATACAGTGTGTCCCACTTACCATGCTCACCATGGGTAACTTTTCAACGGTGAGAGATACGAGGTCGGTTAAATGACAACAAATGTGGAGTTTGTCAAGGCCAACTATAATGTGAAAAAATATTTTGATAAAATCTATTCCTTTTTGTTTTATACGCAAAAAACAGATGTTGATCATTTTCATGTCTCCTCCGTAACTTCTTTATTTATGAAAATATTCAAATAGGAATTTCACATTCTCATGGCAGTTTTTCAAAGTGATTTCGAAAAAATATGAAATTTATACCAACTCTTCTAGAATTTGAGATATCAGCACCAACTTCAGTTTTTCAAATGTAGGGCATAGCTCTCTATGACTTAGTTACAAATAACTTTTTTTTCTCTCACAGATGATATGTCGCAGTAATAGTTTTGTGTTGATAACAATGGAGTTATCGTCATTTATACAGAAACAAAAAAAATTTTTGGAGGCCGCCATCTTGAATTTATAAATTTTGACAAGAAAATCATGATCTCCGACCTCAAAAACCCCCACTTACCAATTTTGAATGGAATCAGACCAAATCTTGTCCGCCATCTTGGAGCAGCCATTTTTTTTTCAACAAAAATTCCACAATGTATTGTCACCTGCAAATTTCAAGTTGGTCGGAGTTGGACACACTACAAGGGGTCATAAATAAAAAAAATTATCACTTTTTACTTCAACATCCTGTATCTCAAAAACGGAGCAAGTAAGGACCCATGTTTATATGAACTTCATTTGTTACAATGTCACAAGGAAATACCCCTTGAATTTTGTCGGTGTTATCTAGATGCACCCTGTATATCTTGCCATATATTATTCATTGAAGCAGTGACAATTAGGTAGACCATCAGTTTGCGGTAGAAGCAATCCAGGAATTAGTAAAAATCTAAGTAGTAGATGTCCAATGTCAGTTATGACTCACAAAGTGGGCGGAGCTTGAAAAAAATGGTGGCCTATGATTGGATATGACAGTATCACGTGGATACAGGATTGACTGTCTTACTTCTGATCAATCAGGAATAAAGGAAGTTGTTGCTGGTAAATCAAATAGACCCATTTCTTATTTAGAACATATTTTTATTAAGGAAGAACAACATATAATATAAATTTCTGTACATAACTTACCATTATATACAAAACAATAAGAACTCTTTGGTGAAATAAACAATAAAATCATCATAACATCATAACAAAAAGCGAAATGTCACAATAAATTATACGATATTGACGAAAGCAGATAAGCTCGAAGTGATTCATTTGAAAAATTCTACAAAGGTACAAACATATATTATTTTCATTAATCCTGATCATACGAAGATTCTCATTTGTCATAACTATTTAAATCTACGTCAATAGAATTTTTCATCAAATTCGGTCAATACAAAACCGAGACACAGTGCTAGATAATCACAAAACATTTTTGTTAACCAAGTTGAAAAAAAAATCGAGATTGTTAACAAATCACATCCAAACGCGTAATCATAAAATTCATTTCAATTACTGGAGGACAAAAAAGGTGATGAACCAATAATTCAGTAAATTACAAAAATAGAAGATCACATTTCTTCGGGAATCCAAATATGGGTGACACCAAAAAAGTGCACGTGAATTGTTTTACATAATGAAAACGAAAATCGTCTGATGAAAAATTCTACTCGTTTTTCAGTGCGAGATTAGTGATCCATGTACCTCAATTAAAAACGATAAGTACACAAGTGCATATGAGTATGTGATATCTGAAAAAAACTTGATTGTTCCATTGCATTTTATTTTAAAGGATAGGTACACCTATTCAATAAAAATGAAAATTGTCTATCGAGTAATTACCGTTGGTAAATCATGAGTCATGAGTCTCTAGATTTTTTCGCCTGGTTCCATACGAGTTCTCTTCCTATATTTTTCATTGAAAATTTCACACCAAACATTTTCGATCAGCCTGTATTTCGTATCGTTACCATAGCAACTAAACAAATTTCTTGGAAATTTCTTCCTCCTCCTTGGGGCACGGAGCATGGAATTACACTGGACATTTTTTGACGTTTATAGGTTGAATGACATTTACATTCAACTTCAGATTATTTCGAGTTCATTCTATAAGTCAATAAATGAAAATCATTCATCAACAGTTCACCATATAAAATTATGTAGGTATACTTGCAATATAATATTTCAGTGTGAAATTTTCTTACCGAATACCACTTTAGCTTCAATTAATATCCGGAAATTTTTGAAGCTTTCGTGATATTATAAGTGAAAATTACGCTTCCAAATATCGGAACTGACTTAGTACACGATATTTTATTCTAGTTTCGGCGTTAATGATTTTGTTCCATTCTTGTTCACCCAAAAGAGTCTCTTTTTTTTATGAAGGTACAAGCATCAGGTCACAACATCAATTTTGAATACTGACAATTATCTTTGAAAATCCTACGTAACTTTATTTTAGGGGCGTTTTAGTGAAATTGACTCAACTTGAGCTACGGAAAAAGTTATTCAAGAGTTATTCATAGAAATGGAATTTACCAACGTTAGTTACTCGGAAAAGTTCGAAATTTCTAATTGTATCAGTCGCATCAATAATATCATATCTAAATTGTGAATATCTTCAATCAATTGGGTTCTCACTCAAGTATAACTTTTTTGTACACAAAATTGCATAAGAAGAGTTGAAAATTCATCAGAAAAATTTGCGAAATGAAGATATTTTGAGTTTCATCTACAACCTTGAATAGACTTCATGATCCAATCAGAATATGATTCACTTGATAGTGACTCAAATATTCGATGACACATCAAATTCCATGATAATTACTTCACGATTTTACGTTTATATAATATTTCTCCATTATGATTCCTACTACTGGATTACTTTTGTGTGAAACTTTGATTTGTTTCTACTTACCACTCATAATTTTTCGTTCCTCCGTTGACAAACTATCTATGTAGGTGCGATTTTTAGTGATATGGTAAAGTTATCAACAATGTAAAGGCAAAATGTTAAATTCAATTTAGGGTGAGGGTGATGTGATTTGAACTGGTGTTATTGATGAAAAGTCATAGAACTGGAAAATTGTGATTGTGATGGAATTCAATATGAAAAATTGATGTTTTTTCTGAGTCAGAACATTACATATCCATGTGACTCACATCTGCCATTCTTTTGAATTTCGACAAATATTCAATATAAGTCCTTTGTGAAGACGTTCACCACGAATGAAATCACATACTGTTACTTGTCAATCTACTGCAATTGTGATGGATTATGTCGGTTGGATGGTATGTCTCGGCAGCAACTTTTTTATTTATATACATACATCCTGTATATTTCTTCAGTCTATCTCATATGCCTTGAAATTATCTTTTGGAAATATATCGCAAAGTGAGAACGACGCTCTGAAAATCCGGTTTTTCTAACAATTCCAGTGGTTTGATCTTGCAATAGATTCTGTAGCAACATGACATGGTGAAGACAACCTCTCCTACACGCTTTGATCGCCAGAAAACTTCTCAATCGATTTCCTGCTTTGAAATTTTCTTGCTCGCCAAAACAAGATTTTTTTTCATTATTTGATGTCATAATTGTTGTTTGAGGACCACCCTGTATATAAGAATAGGTTGATCATGCATCATTTCAATATTTTTGACCATCGTTCGAACCAGATTGACAGGAACACAAAGCCAATAGAAATTAAAGCATCAAATTATGCATTATCTGAATAAGTAACGCGTGTGACTTTTGTTTACAAACTTCTTTTTTTTTCAATGAAGATACATTATACCTCGCCTACTAGGTTTTGATTTAAAACAACAGTGATGTGATACTGGCTGCTTTAGGACAACAGATTTTTTGTTTCTTACTGAAATTCATTATTCCTAGAGCGAGAACCCAATAAACCGAAGACACCGTCTACCCCAAAGGCCATAACCTATTATCTAGACCGCTAATGCCCTAAGAAAAAAACTATGCCACTCGCGAGATCGACCTGGAGAAGATAAATTACGAGCCTTCAGTACCTGTCATATATCTTGGGTACTCACTATTACTCATGTTTCCAAACACCAAGAGTCATGACTTGCTGTAATAAACGACAGTAGCTGAAATATGACATATAGTGGTCTAGATAGTATTTATGCCAGTGGTTCACCCCCACCACTCGCAAATCGCCATTATACCAATGAAGGGGAGTGTTGTATATCACGCAAGATAGCTTATTCGAATTTATTACTCATAGCAGAGCGCTTTCGACTGTTAAGTCATCATCAGTGCATACTCGTCAGGTTAACAAGGAAATTTGTCCAGAAAAATATCTCTGGTCCAGTTTAAAATTATCAACATTAGGGTTCAATACGGTACTAACATATTAAAATGGGTTTCACAGAAGGGGGTTAAATACAGATTACAATTTCTTAAGCAGCCATTGTCGCTGCGACATGTCGTGTTGAAGTTCACTTCAATGTAATCTGTATTTTACCCCATTTTGGAAAACACATTTCAATATGTTTGTACCGTATTTTACCATAATGTCGATAATTTCAAACTGGACCAGAGATAATTTCATGGACGAATTTCTTTGTTAACCTGACGAGTATGCACTGATGATGACTCAACAGTCGAAAGCGCTCTGCCATGAGTAATAAATTTGAATAAATTATCTTGTATCTTGCACGAAAAACATATATACCGGGAGGTCCATTCAAGACTATCCACCCTCAATATCTCCTAAAATTATTATTCTACAAAAAAATGACGAAACAGGTCGATTTTCATATGAAGGGGGACACCTTTTGACAAAAAATGAATAATTCATACTTCAACCCTCTACTCCCCAGAGCAACCCCCTCAATAATTTGAATAGGGAATAAGGGTCGTGTTATGCATCATTGCGAATTCTGGAACTAGCAGTGGAAAGTTTTTTGAATTCCAACAAGTCGTTCTCGAGATATTTGAGTTCAAATGGTATGTTTTCCAATTGCGAGTAATTGATTGTACGAAATGAATTATTAAATGGTTATCCACAACAAATGTTCAAAATTACCTTCATTGACTTTCAGAAAGTGATAGAATCTATTTGTGAATTATTTTCGCACATTTGAAATGTTTCTCTAGTTTTATTGTCTGGCATTCAACCCTAATTCTTCTTAACTTATCGTCCAGATCATAATAGATTCCGTTTCATAAATAACGGATTTCGGATGACCCCAATGAAAAAAATCATTGGGTGCCATGTCCGGCGAGCGTGCTGGCCATTATAATGGTCCTTCACGATCTATCTATTTGTTTGGGAAATTTTGGGGTAGCCATTTTCTCACCTGTGATACGGAATGAGGTGACACATTATCTTGTTGAGAATAAATATTATCTGTCAATAGATTTCGATTACCATCAATGTGGCGGATCTACGATTTCTGGAGCCCTAAGCTTGATAATTCTTGGGGCCCTTGTGGCCCCTACCCATCATTTTTTCTCCTCCTGTTATTTCTTCTCACCAATTTTCCCATCTAACATTTTCTGACCAAATAGAAGCGAAAAATGCATGATGAAAATATATAGGATATAAGGAACAAAAAAAAAAGTGCATTCATTGATATGGTTTAGGATATTATAACAAATAAAAAAAATCAGAGCCACATGAAATAAAATGAACGTAGCTATAACACTGACTAGGATCAGATACGTTCAAAATAAAAGAACTAAACCCTAACGAAATTTCTAGGAGAAACATACGATATCACTTCCAATTTTCTGATTCACGAATCTGCGAATACTTTCATTGCACCATCATAAATCGAACTGCTCAACAAATCACTTCCGATGGAAAGCATTCCCAAAGTTTGTTATGTTCTCTTCGGAATTAGGTACACAATTTGATTTGATTATTGATAATTTTGAAAATAAACGCTCTCCTCCGCAATTGGTCACTGATGGCAGTGTTGAGAACAAGTTCAATGTAGTATTTTGCATTGAAAAACACGTCCATCATTCCTTCAGTATATAGGGTCCCGCCGATTTCATAGGAACATTATTTATTTCCTCAACGGTATACGTTTTGCAGATGAAAAAAATTGCCGTTCCTGAAAAATTGGAATGAAAAAACAGAAAATCATTTTGTTTTTACTGTTGATATTTCATCTAAATCGAAACGGCACATGTTTTTTTTTTCAGTTTGCAAAATGCCATATCGAGGAAGTTATTGAACTTTTGTCGGATTTAAGCAACTTTCTTTCCCTTAACCGGCCCACTGTCGCTATGAGATCGGCAGGACCCTGCTTATGGTTTTCAACATTTTTGGAATGTTGCCGCTGCTTCTAGGTATATAAAATAAATACCTATTGCTCAAAAGAGAAATTCATTTCAATCATTATTTCATCTATACAAACGAATGATATGGGAAAATAGTCATGCAATGCCAGGGCCCCTCGGGGGCCCCTGCAAGGGTCGGGGCCCTAAGCTTGAGCATACTAAGCGTACCGGTAAATCCGCCACTGCATCATCATAGAGGTCCGTAGAGAACCAATAGAATGGCCAGCACGTCTGCCGGACTTGGCACCCAATGATTTTTCCCTAAGGACATTCAAAATCGGTAATTTATAAAACGGAACCTACTGACCTCGATGATTTGAAGAGAAGAATGAGAACTGAATGCCAGGTAATATCAAGAGAAACATTCTCAAACGTACAAGAGGAATTTTCAAATAGACTCTGTCGACGACTTGTTGGAATTCAAAAAACTTTCCACTGCTAGTTCCAGAATTGAATAACCTGAGGGGAGTAGAGGGTTGGAGTATGGATTATTTATTTTGCGTCAAAAGGTTTCCCCCTCCATATGAAAAGCGACCTGTTTCGTAATTTTTTTGTGAAATAATAATCCTCGGAGATATCTAGGGTGGATGTATGCACGTGTACGCTAAGTAACCCTCACTCTACAACAACGCAGAGGGCAGCTTCTCATAGAGCTGCCCGCTTTGACTGCCCCGCCTACGCGGGATAGTTCCACTCAGCGACACTGGGGCCGCCTCGGGGCAGCCGAAAGAGAGCAACAGGTCAACGAGTGCCTTGCAAGCTGCCACCGATGCGTCAGGATTCAGCCCGTTGGTCGGCTGGTGCTTGGCTGCCGCCATGCTGGCAGCGGCTTTCGCATACGCCAGACACGTTCTGCCGTCTTGGTCGACGCATTTCACGTCGGCGTTGTGCTGGAATAGAATTTTATAGAAGGTTCGAGAATGTTGGAAAAACTTTCAGGAATGATTTAGGAGATTCGAGAATGTTCAGGAGTTCCGATAATGAACAATCAAGATATGGAATCTTCCAGAAGGTTGGCACACTTTGAGATCATGGATACTAGTATCATTCAATGATCATATCAACAATATCTGCAAAAAGTTTTTCAGAATGGCAAGCTAAAAATATCTCAGATCAGGATACGATGAAAACACTGTATATGTCACTAGTTCGAAGCGTTCTTGAATGTAATAGTATCATTTGGTCACCAGTATACAATTGTCACAAAAGCCGTTTAGAGAGAGTACGAGGTCGGTTCACCAATTTTCTTATCTGGAAACTTGGACTTTCCTTCAATGATCTCGGCCCTCGCCGTTACCACCGATGAAACAAGGCCTGCATGCTCCGTACTTAGTCAGGCCTAACCAGCGGCTCGAAACGACAAGCGCTTATAGCGCTATAAGGCGACCGCGTATTTCGATTTTAGTTTTAGATCATTATTGAGCCGATTTTGCTTTTTTTTGAAGGGCTTCCGGTTGAAGGAGGATGCCAGCCGTCAACTGAGCCCTTCTTCGCATCCCATTCGATTTTATTATGGAAAAACGAAGTTTCAAAGCAAAAACCAGGATAAAACACAAATATCCACCTACAGCAACCCATTCGAATCAAATATATTGGCAAAAATTGTGGTGAAGGTAAACTTCACACCTACTTATACAGGGCCCGCAGAACATAAACTTATCGTGAGATTGATCTATTTATGACTCTCTTTATTAAAGAAAAAATCATGAGGTGATCTATTTCTGATGTTGGATTTATATGAACAACTTCTTTCACATTTGACATAACGCTTGCTATCATGAAGACAAATGCAGAATTTGCTAAACATGAATTATTAAATGCCGTTCCTACAATATTGCCTGCCTTGTTAACAACGAACTACATATCGATTTGACTGTACCTGAATGAGGTAATATGAGTACTCCAAAATGTCTTGAGAATTTATAAGCATGTGGACTTATTGTATGAATTATAGAGGCTAAAATTATAGTATTATTCGAATAACGATATCGTTCTTTGCAGGATGTATGTAATTTAATTTGCTCAGAGAGGAACAATAAAGCTGAAGTGTTTTCGGAATCTTCATCAAGATCTGAAACCGAGTCAGAAACCAAAGAGTCCAATGGATTCGAAATATGTTTCAAAACCCTCTTTTTCTGATTATCAAGACATTTTCCCGAATTATGTATCTCGTTTTTATCTATTTCAATTAGTAATTCCTTGATTTGATTGATATTATTAGAGATAAAAGGTGTTTTCAGATTGGCTTTTAGAGATGTTTGTATCGCTAGGTCATACAAAAATGATTCCACATTCAAAACAAAATCAATCACAACCGAATATGTAATTACGGGCCCTGGAGAATAAGACAATTTGAATAATGTGACTTTTTGCAAATCGATAATTTTGAACCACTTTTCGGGCAACTGAAAAGACTAATACAACTAGAAATCCTTGAAATTCTGTGTAGCAAAATGATTTTTGGTAATTTTCGAATTCAGTTTTATTTTTATAAGTGCTTGTGCCAAATTTTTAATCTCTAGTATCTCAAGTTTTTCATCACGACTTGTGCGTAATTTTACATCTTTCGATAAATAAGATGGACAGTTGGGAAATTGAGTGGGAATAACATCTCGTTTGAGCCTAGGAATTTTCAAATCTATTGTTACAGTTTTGCCAGTTTTTGAATCGGTTGCAGTAGATGAAGTAATAATATCATCTTTAGTAAAATGTAATTCACATACTTTACTGTACTTTTAAATGGAGTCGTAAAATCCTTGCGGTGAATTGCATGTACCCACTTTTTCGATAGTTCCTTGTCCAACGGGAAACTGAAAGCATGAACTTTTGGACCACCCACATAATTCCCCCGACAAAAGGGAACACAACACTTGTAAGGCATTGTTATTTCGCCTATCACAACACGAAATATTTCACAAAACAGTAATTTCTCCGCCAATTATTTTGATGAATAAACAACAAGAGAATTCGATCACACCGTTACAGCACACGCGATTTACCTACGCCACCGTTCTTAAACAAAAACAAACTGACGATCGATCGACGCGAATGCCTTGGAAGATGGCCTGAGTATGCGACGTCACGAGCTGTTTACGTCAGTCTGCTGGCCTTGTTTTATCGGTGGTAACGCCCTCGCCCTTTAACAAGAATTTTATTCTTGAACCTTCAAACTTTAAAAGATAGACGAATTATTGCTATGTCGAACTTTTTATTCAAAATTGTAAATGGTATTATGAACTGCCCAGAAATATTGAAAAAATTATCATTTCACGCCAATCCTAGGGCTACGAGAACCTGTCACACTGTCTACGTGAAAACCCACCGTACTAATTATGGCCGTACTGCTTTCTATTGCAAACTTCAAGAAAACTACAATTTTCATTCATACTAGGACGATGAAAAAAATAAATTGAATTATGTTCATTTCAAAACAAACACTTCCTGCGCTATTTGAAATGGTACAACTTCATTGGTGTGACTGGTGTGACGTATTAGTCCCAACACGCCTATTGTACTTGAGCTGACCAATCACACTGCAACACTGCAGAATGGCAAGGTATAAGAGAGAGATACCTACAGTTCGGGTCTAATACGTCACGGCTCCACCTTCCTATCAGTTTTTTTGAAATATCGAATGGAATTGCTGATTTCAAAACGCTATACATTCGATTTCCTTCAACTTCAACTCATATAATAATAATAATAATAATAACATTTATTGATCCCAAGAAACATACAATGTTTATAGAGGGATACAAAATAATAATAATAATTCCAGAATAGTGAGTAGTATTGGACAATATTTCGGAATGTTATAGAATCTTCCGAAATGTTCGCGAATGTTTTATCATCTTTCAGAATGTTCCATGTTAGTTAAAAAAGTTTGAGCATCTTCCAGAAGGTTTAGGAATGTTCCATCATCTTTCAGAATGTTTGAGAATGTTCCAGGACTTCCGATAATAGTCAATCAAGTCACAGAATCTTCTAGAAGGTTTAAGATTGTTCTAGAATCTCTAAAAATATTCGAGAGTATTCCAGTTGTATCGATAATGTTCAGGCAAGTTATAGAATCTTACAGGAAGTTCGCGAATGTTTCAGAATGTTTCAGGATGTTTGAGAGTGTGTTAGAAACTTATAGAAAAATAATGAACGTTCTATAATTTTTTTAGAATGTTCAAGAATCATAAAGAATGTTCGAGTGTTCAAGAAATTCAAGGAATCTTTCAAAAGCTCCATGTTTCCTAATCTTTCAGAATCTTCAAAATCGATCTTTGATGGCTCCCATTGAAACACTAGTTGGTGATATAACCATTTTTGACTTACCCATATCAGTAGCTGAGCAACAGCCATATTGCCCATGGCACACGCCAAGTGAAGAGGCGTTCTCAGATCTCTCGGTCCGACAGTCGTATTCACTTCTTGCACGTTCGCTCTAGCTAAAACGCTGACGATTCCCTTCATGTTCGAAGCGCAAACCGAATCTGGGAAAATAAGTCCCTGAGTTGCAATTTCGATATTTTTCCTAAGGAATCGAAAAAAACTGCGAAATACTGACATTTCATATTCTTGACCCCCTCAGAAAAAAAAGTACGCCCCTGGATTTTTTTTCGCTAATGTATGTCCATGAAAATAGTTTTCAAACTTCTCTTCAAGTTCCAAATTCCGACACTTCGATTTTGGACCACCTTCAAAATATCTTCGTACGACTTTGATGTCGCAAATTTCTTATCTCACGGATAGTATCAAGAAATTATCAATATTTAATATTCATACCCTCAGAAAAAAAATTTGCGTCACTGGAGACCTGATAGAAAAAGTTTCAGGATTCGAACCCTAAAATTCAAGACCCTCCCTGAGTTGCAATTTCAATATTATTCCTAAGGGGTCGAAAAAACTGCGAAATACTGACATTTCATATTATTGACCCCCTCAGAAAAAAAAAGTACGCCCCTGGATTTTTTTTTCGCTAATGTATGTCCATAAAAATAGTTTTCAAACTTCTCTTCAAGTTCCAAATTCCGACACTTCGATTTTGGACCCCCTTCAAAATATCTTCGTACGACTTTGATGTCGCAAATTTCTTTTCTCACGGATAGTATCAAGAAATTATCAATATTTAATATTCATCCCCTCAGAAAAAAAATTGCGTCACTGGAGACCTGATAGAAAAAGTTTCGGAATTCGAACCCTAAAATTCGAGACCCTTCCTGAGTTGCAATTTCGATATTATTCCTGAGGGGTCGAAAAAAAACTGCGAAATACTGACATTTCATATTATTGACCCCTTCAGAAAAATAAAGGGTACGCCCCTGTTTTTTTTTCGCAAATTTATGTCCATAAGAATAGTTCGAACTTCTCCTACTTCAAGTTCCAAATTCCGGCACTTTGATTTTGGACCCCCTTCAAAAAACCTTCGTACGACTTTGATGTCGCAAATTTCTTTTCTCACGGATAGTATCAAGAATTAGCAATATTTTGTTCAGACTTTCATCAGAAAAATAGAATATGTAGTAGGTACACCTCTGAAGTTTCTATTTTCAATATCTTTCGATTCTTTTCGACGAAATTTCGAACTCGCGAAATTTTGTTATCATCGAGCACCTGTAGAAAAAAAATTGGTACGCCCCTGGATTTTTTTTTCGCTAATGTATGTCCATAAAAATAGTTTTCAAACTTCTCTTCAAGTTCCAAATTCCAACACTTCGATTTTGGACCCCCCTTCAAAATATCTTCGTACGACTTTGATGTCGCAAATTTTTTTTCTCACGGATAGTATCAAGAAATTATCAATATTTAATATTCATACCCTCAGAAAAAAAATTTGCGTCACTGGAGACCTGATAGAAAAAGTTTCGGAATTCGAACCCTAAAATTCGAGACCCTCCCTGAGTTGCAATTTCGATATTTTTCCTAAGGGGTCGAAAATAAAACTGCGAAATACTGACATTTATTATTATCGACCCCTTCAACAAAATAAAGGGCACGCCCCTGATTTTTTTCCGCAAATTTATGTCCATAAAAATAGTTCAAACTTCTCCTACTTCAAGTTCCAAATTCCGACACTTTGATTTTGGAACCCCTTCAAAAAACCTCCGTACGACTTTGATGTCGCAAATTTCTTTTCTCACGGATAGTATCAAGAAATTATCAATATTTAATATTCATACCCTCAGAAAAAAAATTTGCGTCACTGGAGACCTGATAGAAAGTTTCGGAATTCGAACCCTAAAATTCGAGACCCTCCCATAGTTGCAATTTCGATATTTTTCCTAAGGAGTCGAAAAGAACATGCGAAATAATGATATTTCATATTCTTGACCCCCTCAGAAGAATAAAGAGCACGCCCCTGATTTTTTTCGCTAATGTATGTCCATAAAAATAGTTTTCAAACTTCCCATCAAGTTCCAAATTCCGACACTTCGATTTTGGATCCCCTTCAAAATATCTTCGTACGACTTTGATGTCGCAAATTTCTTTTCTCACGGATAGTTTCGAGAAATTATCAATATTTGATATTCATCCCCTCAGAAAAAAAAAATTGCGTCACTGGAGACTTGATAGACAAAGTTTCGGAATTCGAACCCTAAAATTCGAGTCCCTCCCATAGTTGCAATTTCGATATTTTTCCTAAGGAGTCGAAAAGAACATGCGAAATAATGATATTTCATATTCTTGACCCCTTCAGAAAAATAAAGGATACGCCCCTGATTTTTTTTTTTCGCAAATTTATGTCCATAAGAATAGTTCAAAATTCTCCTAATTCAAGTTTCAAATTCCGACACTTCGATTTTGGACCCCCTTCAAAATATCTTCGTACGACTTTGATGTCGCAAATTTCTTTTCTCACGGATAGTATCAAGAAATTATCAATATTTAATATTCATCCCCTCAGAAAAAAAAATTGCGACACTGGAGACCTGATAGAAAAAGTTTCGGAATTCAAACTCTAAAATTCGAGACCCTCCAAGGTTGCAATTTCGATATTTTTCATAAGGGGTCGGAAAAACCCTGCGAAATACTGACATTTCATATTCTTGACCCCTTCAGAAAAATAAAGGGTACGCACCTGCTTTTTTTTTCGCAAATTTATTTCCATAAGAATAGTTCAAAATTCTCTTACTTCAAGTTCCAAATTCCGACACTTCGATTTTGGACCCCCTTCAAAAAACCTTCGTACGACTTTGATATCGCAAATTTCTTTTCTCACGGATAGTATCAAGAAATTATCAATATTTGATATTCATCCCCTCAGAAAAATAATTTGCGTCACTGGAGACCTGATAGAAAAAGTTTCGGAATCCGAACCCTAAAATTCGAGACCTTCCCTGAGTTGCAATTTCGATATTTTTCCTAAGAGGTCGAAAAAAAAACTGCGAAATACTGACATTTCATATTATTGATCCCTTCAGAAAAATAAAGAGCACGCCCCTGATTTTTTTCCGCAAATTTATGTCCATAAAAATAGTTTTCAAACTTCCCATCAAGTTCCAAATTCCGACACTTCGATTTTGGACCCCCTTCAAAAAACCTTCGTACGACTTTGATGTCGCAAATTTCTTCTCTCACGGATAGTATCAAGAAATTATCAATATTTGATATTCATCCCCTCAGAAAAAAAAATTGCGTCACTGGAGACCTCATAGAAAAAGTTTCGGAATTCGAACCCTAAAATTCGAGACCCTCCCTGAGTTGCAATTTCGATATTATTCCTAAGGGGTCGAAAAAAAACTGCGAAATACTGACATTTCATATTATTGACCCCTTCAGAAAAATAAAGGGTACGCCCCTGATTTTTTTTTCGCAAATTTATGTCCATAAGAATAGTTCAAACTTCTCCTACTTCAAGTTCCAAATTCCGACACTTTGATTTTGGACCCCCTTCAAAATATCTTCGTACGACTTTGATGTCGCAAATTTTTTTTCTCACGGATAGTATCAAGAAATTATCAATATTTAATATTCATATCCTTAAAAAAAATTGCGTCACTGGAGACCTGATAAAAAAAGTTTTAGGGTTCGAGCCCCAAAATTCGAAACCCTCCCTGAGTTGCAATTTCGATATTATTCCCAAGGGGTCAAAAAAAACCCTTCTAAATACTGACATTTCATATTATTGACCCCTTCAGAAAAATAAAGGGTACGCCCCTGATTCTTTTTTCGCAAAATTTATGTCCATAAGAATAGTTCAAACTTCTACTTCAAGTTCCAAATTCCGACACTTTGATTTTGGACCCCCTTCAAAATATCTTCGTACGACTTTGATGTCGCAAATTTCTTTTCTCACGGATAGTATCAAGAAATTAGCAATATTTTGTTCAGACTTTCATCAGAAAAATAGAATATGTAGTAGGTACACCTCTGAAGTTCCTATTTTCAATATCTTTCGATTCTTTTCGACGAAATTTCGAACTTGCGAAATTTTGTTACCATCGAGCCCCTGTAGAAAAAAAATTGGTACGTCTCTGATTGCATGATTTCGACCCTCTGATTTAGTTCCACGATTTTTTGAATTACTGACTTACTGACAAGTTTTTTGATATCTTTTGATTAACCGTCGACATGCGTTTGCGAAGTTCAAAAATTTCGATTTTTTCATGTCAGCCCCCAGAAAAAAAAATGGATACGCTCCTGAAGCAATTTTAATTTTATGTTGTGTGATGTGGAAGAACCTTCGGAATTCTGACCTTTCTCATTTTTGATCCCCTCAGAAAAAATCATCATAAAACCCATAAAAAAAAGCTAGACTCACCAATGAGCTGCTGGCCCAAAGGCATCGTGGTATTGGGCGGAGGCAAAAACTCTTTACCCTCGTATTTGGCCCGTATCCACCTTTCTCTCTCTTCCCTACTAGAAGTTTGGTTAGGTTTCGTCCTGTTCTGGATCTGACACTCCCACACCGAATTGGCCAGCAAATTCCCGATCGCCAACATGACAGCCAAATTCCCAGGCCTAAAAAACTTCACCTTATATTCCCCACCAAGTATGAGCGTCTCAATAAACAAACGATTTTTGAAATCATTCGATGATAGATCTCATCGAGACACTTCATTTGATATGCCACACTATATATCTATCTTGACGGATAACCGAGATACAACGAATCTTCCTGATAAAGTGACAAATGACAGTTTCCATTGACGTCATCTGATAGAGCTTTCCGAGACCTTTCATTTGATATGCGACAAGATATATCTATCTCTTAGGATAACGAATATATACACATTTATCTTCGATGTGACAGATGACAGGTGACAGCTGTCAATTTTAAAATGAAGCTAGAAGGACGAAAATCGGTATGGATAGGTTTTTGGGGTCAAGGAACACGAATTTGATGTTATTTCCATTAAAGCTCCCTAAACTTCGGAGTAAACGTTTTTCTTGGCCAATTTGGACGAGAAAAACTTCTTTCCAGAGTAGATGAACACGAATTAGTCATTATTTTGTGGAGCTAGATTGTTCAATTGATTTTTCAGGTTTTGGGTACTTACGGCCACTCATCCAGGTCCATAGAACGAACCCTCGATATATGAGATCCTAAATTCCTGTGAATGCCAGAGCATTCGATACACATGAGCACGCCCAAATTCAAACTCGCCCAATCCGGATCTGCAACCAAAACCACCACATAACCCCACATTCAAATTGCCGAAAACGAAAAGTACTTACTCGGAGCATCACAATCCACGCAGTACCCGTTCCCAGGTACTCTAGCTTTGATCGATTGCAGCGTCGATGCTTCGACAGGATTGCACTTCATCTTGAAGGTCTCGTTGGACTGCAAGGAATTGAGGATTTGCTGTTCTATGGCGGCTACCCATTCGTCCCTTTCATCGGACGAGGACGCTTCGAAGTGCCACTGCTTGTTGTCCAAAGACACTATGTAGAACTCGTTCGCCTCGTTGTCTGCGAAAATTTTGGACAAACTCTTTTTTTTTCAACACAACTCATTTAGGATCTCATTTCAGAAACACCTTACTCATCAAAAAACTCATTCGATCAACACCCAATTAACCAATCAACTCGTTTTTCAACAACAATGCCTTAATGATACAAATTAACAACTCAACCATTTCATGAACACCCTAACAATTAAAACGCTCATTTCAACAACACCTAACTCATTAACAAACTCATTGCATCAACACCTAACTTAAACAACGCATTCGTTTTTCATAAACACAACTCATCAACGAATCCATTTCAACAACACCTTGATCATTAAAGCACTTATTTCAACGACACCTAACTCATTTATGAACTTACTGCATCAACACTAAACTAACCAACGCATTCATTTAATCGACACCTAACTCATTAATGAAGCAATATTACTAAAGGAACCATTCCATCAATGAAAACTCGCATTTCAACAACACCTAACTTATCAACAACCAAATTCAGCAAAGGGAAACGTTTCAACTCACCAACACACCTATTTCATCAAGACCTAACTCATCAAATGAGTCAGGTGTTGATGAAATAGGTGCGCTGTTAACTTGGTTTGTCCATGAGTAAGGTGTTGATGGAAGAGTTGAGTTAAGTGTTGTTGAAATGGATAAAGTGGTTCGTCCATGAGTTAGGTCTTGATAGAATAGGTGCGTTGACAGATTGGTTTGTTTTGAATTAGATGATTCAGAGAGTTGGCTGTTGATTCTTCCATGAGTCAGGTGTTGATAGAATAGGTGCGCTGTTGTTGGTTCGTCCATGAGTATGGTGTTGATGGAAGAGTTGAGTTAAGTGTTGTTGAAATGGATAGTGGTTCGTCCATGAGTTAGGTCTTAATTGAATAAGTGCGTTGACAGATTGGATTGTTTTGAAATAGAAGATTTAGAGAGTTGGCTGTTGATTCTTCCATGAGTAAGGTGTTGATGAAATAGGAGCACGGATAAGTTGGCTCATCCATGAGTTAGGTGTTGATAAAATGAGCTCGTGATCAAGTCAGTCAAGTGTTGTTCACACAGATGAGTGACTCGTACATGACTTAGCTGTTGATCAAATAGATGTTTAGGTGAGTTGGTAACTGATTTTTTCCATGAGTTAGGTATTCATAAAATATGTACGTCTTACACTTGATTGTAAGATATAACAAGCGTCGTTGTGGTAACACTAACAGAGTTCCTGTGTCCCCACATGGACGAATCGACAATCGATATACAGGGTGATGAAATACAGGAGATCCACTCACCATCGTACTCGGAATTCTTCAATCCGCTGCTCTTAACCCGCCGGTGCCGTTTCTTCACGTTGGGCGTTTCGATTTTGGAGATTTCCCCGTTAAGGAAGGAATTGCTGCTGGACAACACCATCCCTTCGTCGCCGCTAGTTTGAGGTCCGTACCTCGAACTCGGATCCTTGACGGTGTCGAAGGCGCTGAGAAGGACTTTCTCGGTGGGCCTTTTGTCTTTACCTGGGAGAAGAAAACAAGATCGTGACGATGATGATTCGATATCCGCCACGAGTCTTTCAGAAAAAATTGAAAGAGGAAAAGAAGAGAAATATAGAATCGAGAGAGAAAAATATGAGAAGATCAAAAGATGAATAGATGAGAAAATGAATAGATGAAAATATGAATAGATTATTAAGATGGAAAGATTAAAAAATAAAACAGTAACCACACTAAGAAGAAGTGATAATATAATATGAGTGTGATGATAAACACACAAAATATTAGCACCTACGTAATCAGTCCATTCTATGTTGTGTATCAACACACTTTCATCATTTTATCTTCTACTTCTTTTTATTTTGCCTATCTATAAAATCGTGTTCTTCAGTTTTTTATCCTACTATTTTGTAGTTCCGCCGAGTTCAAAAGCGTGTCTTTTAGGCTTTTTATATTTTCTCTAAGTACACGATTTTGACGGAAGAATCATAATCTCCGACCCCGAAAACCCATAGATACTAACTTTGAATAGAATCGGATCATATAATACAGAACTCGTTTGCCAAATTGGATTTGCCATCTTGAATTTTCGAATTTTGAGGGAAGAATCATCATCTCCGACCCCGAAAACCCCCAGATACAAATTTTGAATAGATTCATATCACAATTACAGAGCGCGTCCGCCATATCGGATTCGCCATCTCGAATTTACCAATTTTGACGAAAGAATCATAATCTTCGACCTCTCAAACACCCAGATACCAATTATGAATAGAATCGGATCATAATTACAAAACTCCGTCCGCTAATATAAAATTTCAAATTTTGACAAAAGAATCATAATCTTCGAACCCGAAAACCCCCACATAGTGATTTTTGATAGAATCGGATCATAATTGCAAAACTCGTCCGCCATATTGGATCCGCCATCTTGAATTTACCGATTTCGACGAGAGAATCCTCAGATACCAATTTTGAAGGATCTTCACGTATATTTTGAACCCCCACCTTAACTATTTTATATATCATAGATTTTTTTTTACAATGGACAGTTTTTTATAATTTTTCCTGTAAATTTTGAATATGTTAACAGAAAAACAATTGAACATCTCAAAAAAAGTTATGGGCAAGATGAATAAATTTTCAAATGGAACACCCTGTATTTTATTGCATTTTTAGATTCTCCCTGAAGAGCTGATTTCATCGATCTATCACAGTTGGGGTCTAGCTGAAATGATTACAGAGATATAGGGTGTGAAAAATTTAGATTTTTTCAACTTTAGGAATTCCATGAATTCCTACGATACGGAATTCGGTATAGGTCTCAGATAGAAAAAAAAATCCTCACCGGCCAGACTCAAACCGCCGATACCCTCTTGGAGCGCGCTGTGACAATGCGTACCGGCCACGGTGATAATCGATTTGGAGCCTCTCGGCTTCTGTCCTGGCACCTTCACAGTGACATATTGCAAGGATATCTCTTTGCCGTGCACGTCGTCCATGTAGTCGTGCAGACTCGGATGGTACGTCAAGCGACCGTCGTCGCACAACGTCACATACTTCTTTTTCCAGTCTTTGTTCAGCGGTTTGCTGCTCCTCTTGTACAGATAACCTGGAAACGCGTTTTCAGTCCATAAAGTACCATTTTGTAGGACCGTCTATAAAGCTGCACTTTATCTGACGATCCATAAAGTACCACTTTATAGGAAAGGTGTCATTTCACAGGACCGTCCATAAAGTGCTACTTCATAGACCCGTCGATAAAGTTGCACTTTATCGAACGGTCCATAAAGTACCTATTTATTGAACAGTTCATTATGAAACACTTCTATTGACCGTCCAAAAGTACCAATGTATTGAACACCTTGAAGAATGTAACGGTACAATGAACCGTCCATAAAGTAGTACTTCATCGGTAAGTCCGTAGGACATCTATCTTACCCTGTTTGAGAGGAATAGCTCGTCCGCTACCGAAATCTCCACCGTTTTTCATCTTGTCCTCACCCTTCTTGGAAGGGGTGAACAAGTTCGATCGTCTCCTGCTTTTCCTAGATGTAGTCGGGGTCGAATTGGGAGTTGGAAGGTCCTTGGCGTCCTTGAAAATAATAATCAATCCTAATGAAGATTTTATCACAACAGTTCCAACAAACAAAAATAGCACTCAGCGCCGTTTAATTTCCGGTAATCCTTTCTAAAGGCTGCCTTACTCCTAGAACCTTTCTGACTGGTACTTATAGGTACTCATTTCAGTTGGGCGCCGTTTCATCTTAGTTTTACGAAGTTCAAGAGGAATAGGAATAGCGGAAGTTTGGGTGAGAGGCGTTCTATCTAGACACCGTTCAACCTTTGCGCCGTTTCATCTACGCGCCGTTTTATGGAAACCTCACGAATTGGATGCGAATCCACACGCAAGTCCTAGCTTCCAGCTGTTATGGGCGTTTTGCAAGTTGGCAGTTCTATCGAAACGGTGAAACAACATAGCATGCGACCGAAACAGCACCGTTCTTCTTCCAGTACTGTTTTATAAAAGTTCCCTTAGTCAAAGTGTAATTTTGACTTGTAGTCATATGAACGTCGCTGTATTAGCCGAACGCAGTTTTAGTTGGCGCCGTTTCAACTTAGTTTTAGTTGGCGCCGTTTCAACTCAGTTTTATGATCTTGGATGCAAATCCACACTTGAGTCTTACCTTCGAACTGTTGTGGGCGATCAGTAAATTGTCAAGAGGGTACGGCGCTGCGAATTTGACGCAGATGTTTATTCAAACGTAATGAAGATTTTTCCGCAACGACTCTACCAGAACGGTTATCAGACAAAATAGCACTTGACAAAAAACAGCGCCGTTTTAGTTCCAGAGTACTGTTGCCTAAACTTTGCATCAGTCCTAGTGCATTTCTGACTGGTACTCAGATGAACGTCACCGATTTAATAGGGCGCCGTTTTAGTCGAGCGCCGTTTCAGCTCAGTTTCACGTTGTTCAATGAGAATATGGGTAGCGGAAGGCTAGCTAGGAGTTAGTTCATCTAGAATCTATACGCTCTTTAACCTAGGCACCGTTTTACCACAGCGCTGTTTTACCTAAGCGCCGTTTTACCTAAGCGCCGTTTTACCTAAGCGCCGTTTTACCTAGGCGCCGTTTTACCTAAGCGCCGTTTTACCTAAGCGCCGTTTTACCTGGGCGCCGTTTTACCAGAGCCGTTTTACCAGAGTGCCTTTTCATTGAAAATCCACTTGAGTCCTACCTTCGAGCTGTTGTGGGCGTTCTGTAAGTTGTCCAGCGAATGGGGCGCCGCGAATTTGGCGCAGTTGTTGTTCTCGGCGACCGATTGGACGGCGTGGAGGAGTCCATGGGCGGACCCGTGACTGCCCAGGGTGGACGTGGACGACGTCCATTTCTCTTCGGACGACCGATGGACGGGCTCCTTGTCGCTGTCTCGGTGGATCAGATGGGCGGGTTTGAGGGTGTGGAGTTGTCTGATGTCCAGGGGGTGGGAGTTTACTGGCTCCTAGAATCAGGAGGTTCATTCGGGTTCCGATTTCAGAACTGTTCAAGAATCGTTCTCGAACTGCGCAGAACTAGTGCGCAGTCATTTCGAATCCTAGGACTGTTTCAGAACGGTTCACAAATTATGAAAACCCGAAAGCGGCAGAAGAGAACCTCTGAGAACATAACCTCTATTCAGAATTTGCGAAAAAATCAATATAGTTTGGATCCTGTATCTTTATTCGAATAATATTCTGAAGCTTCGAACTCTCCTTTCAGTCTATTCACAATATCAATCTCTGTGGAGGAATGGTGAATAAATTCCACGTTTCGTGTATGAGCTGCCATCATTGACTTTGTTTTTTTAAATACGGACCTGGATTTTTCATTACGAATTTTAAGAGCTCGGGTTCCGATTTCAGAACTGTTGAAGAATCGTTCTCGAACTGCGCAGAACTAGTGCGCAGTCGTTTCGAATCCTAGGACTGTTTCAGAACGGTTCACAAATTATGAAAACCCGAAAGCGGCAGAAGAGAACCTCTGAGAACATAACCTCTATTCAGAATTTGTGCGAAAAAACCAATAGTTTGGATCCTGTATCTTTATTCGAATAATATTCTGAAGCTTCAAACTCTCCTTTGAGTCTATTCACAATATCAATCCTCTGTGGAGGAATGGTGAATATATTCCACGTTTCGTGTATGAGCTGCCATCATTGACTTTGTTTTTTTAAATACGGACCTGGATTTTTTATTACGAATTTTAAGAGCTTTCAATCTCCTGGATTCAGTTGTTTCTATCGGAACTATTGAGAGAAATAACAACGAAAAGAGAATTATCAATGAATGTGCTTGTATTCTTCTGAACGGAGACAATATCATTGCTTCCTGTGCAGTTGATATAGATAGAACATAATATTCACTACTAAAATCTCAACATAACATAATAAATTGAAGATCGATCAATGGAAACATCCTGTAACTCATTTGTTTCTCAATCTAAACATCTGCCACTGAGAAGTATCAACATTAAAATACGAAGACAATTTGACAAAAATTACATTTTCCTTTCATGTTGAAAACGGGAGCAGATTCTTTCCCGAAACGTCCAAAGATAATCTGTGTTAGAAGTCTATTGTGGTTAGTAACCAGGGTTCAGAACACAAAGTCGTTCAGTGAAGATAAGCTTGTATGGACTCGCAGCATGATAATTTGATTACTATTAAAATTGTGGAGACGACTTTGTGTTCTGATCACTGGTCCACAGATCAGTATTTTGGTATTTTTTTCGTTATATCTATATTTTTATTTATCGAAATATTTTTCGAAACAAGTCGTCACTGACAATCGATTGCATTTTTCTTTTATGCACACAAATAGTGGAATTTTTGAAGGCAGTAAATCATCCTCACGTATACACGTATATTGAAATAATACTCATATCTTTATTTTACAGAACATCCTGAAAAATCTAGAAGAATGAATGTACCACCTCCTCGATTAACTCATAGACATTATTTGACATATTACTGATCTATAGAGAACATTTTTTGTGAAGTTACCGTATTTAATATATGTTGAAAAACACAATGTTTATTTTCACATTTTTAGTAGCGAACTAGTTTTTGTTTCATAGCACTATTTAATTTCCAATGTCCGATACTAACTCGTATATTGATTTACCTTCATTTTCACGTTGTCTTTGAACGGTATAATAATTTGATTACAATTAAAATTGTGGAGACGACTTTGTGTTCTGATCACTGGTCCACAGATCAGTATTTTGGTATTTTTTCGTTATATCTATATTTTTATTTATCGAAATATTTTTCAAAACAAGTCGTCACTGACAATAGATTGCATTTTTCTTTTATGCACACAAATAGTGGAATTTTTTAAGGCAGTAAATCATCCTCACGTATACACGTATATTGAAATAATACTCATATCTTTATTTTACAGAACATCCTGAAAAATCTAGAAGAATGAATGTATCACCTCCTCGATTAACTCATAAACATTATTTGACATATTACTGATCTATAGAGAACATTTTTTGTGAAGTTACCGTATTTAATATAATGTTGAAAAACACAATGTTTATTTTCACATTTTTAGTAGCGAACTAGTTTTTGTTTCACAGCACTATATAATTTCTAATGTCCGATACTAACTCGTATATTGATTTACCTTCATTTTCACGTTGTCTTTGAACGGTACACATGGAAAAATGCTCAAAAATTCCATGTCTAAAACTCATGATTCAAATAACACAAGGAACATCTCATATACCTTTGAACACTTCGCTGCCTCATTCAAATTTCATACTGTGAATTTTTTTATCACTGTTCATTATCTAGTCTATTGAGATAAGGTTTTGGATAATAAGCAACTTGAATTTTTACATATAGAGTGTGTGAAATATTCGATTATTTTATACTTACCACCCTGAGGAATCTATACATTATGGAAATAATTATTGAATACCCTGCCAGAAGAAAATCAAGGCCAAAAATGTCATTTGAAAATCAGAGTTGACACTACTCTCACAGGTATGACATTATAAATTTTATGTTCATTTCAATGTATGCATAATTGCGGAATAGTATATTATGTAACAAGTGTTATAAACGTCCTTTTAGTAACGAGTATTTTAAGCACGAGCGGAGCAGAGCGGAGCGAAGAAGAGTTTATAAACGCGTTACATACTATGCTTTTTCTACGAACTCCGAAAATTACATTAACATACCTGCTATTCCTGCTAACCTACAAAATAATTCGAAAGGAATGGGAATTGAGAACATAATACATGCAACTGCATGCAACCAGCGAGACACGTATAAGTGATATTGGTTGTAGATGCGTCCAGTCCATTGCTTACTAACCTTTGTTTCACGTTTATTGTCATGCTTAGCGCAGAATAAATAAATTGTTCTCAAAGATGGATGCTTCATTTTTAAACTTCTTGGAGATATGCAGGTACCAGAACATTCTCTTCGATTTCACTTTCGTCTACTTTTCGCATATATTTTTGATGAAGAATTCTGATACAAGCGAATATTGTTTGAATAATTCTGATACAAAACTCGAAAATAACAGTTGACAGTTAATACAATTGACAGCAGGCCAGAGATGTCTCAAATTACTGAAGCTGTGTTTAATGAACTGCGTTGCCATGGTAATGTGTTCAAGAAAGTGTGTTGCCATGGTAACGTGTTTAATATTTCGAATAAATCACAGATCGACAATCCGTGATTAATCGATCATTTAGCGTGGTACATATCCGTACGCTAAATGCCATTTTAGTTATGAGAGTAGAAAAATTCCTTTTTTTCCACGGGAAACAAGTGAGAACTGTTTTCCCGGATATATAATTTTATAGATGCCTGCATAAAGGTCAGTCCAACACAGTAGTGGTTCCTGTTGATAGCTTCAAATTTCACGTCGACAATATTTCTGATTTTGATATAATATAATATCTTCTCAATATTGATTCGTCCTTCGTTCTGTCACAGAAAAAAACAGTGTATTATACACGCAAAAAATATTAAATTTGAGCTCACTACTAATCTAATATTTTTTCCCTTGTATAATGAATAACTATATTATGCAGTTAGGTAATTCATCGGAAGAAACACATGACTTACTGGACTATTTTTAGATAAGAGCAAGGTTATGAATGAGGTTAAACCAGCAGTTGAAATATTAAAATAAGAATTTATTATTGAGGAATATGATAATTGGAAGTGTGAAAGTAAAATGAAAATTTTCACTGATGGTGTTTACGGATTGAAACATCCTCATGTCATAAAAGTCTCAACGTATTGATAATGTTTGTTCTCGCTAATAAAATTTACACTCCTAGTAGTGGGACTAATAATATACAGATCTGAAAGGAAATTCAATCAACATGTATATTATCGCCTTTTTCATGAAAAATCGATCAAATTGGCTGTTTCATAATTTACTTTGAGGTTACGGCCACTTACCATGCTTCACTTCATCCTTATATTTTACCATTCGGTTCATTGGATAATTTTTCTTTGTGCTCAATTTATCTGTTCGAAAACGAATTTATGCAAGTCACTCGATTCAGTTCGTATGATACATCATAGATAAAAATCTGTGACCACATTTCTAGTTATTTTGAACTATCATTGAATTTCCAATTGGCTGTCAGGTTTTCACATTCGTCTACATTCAAGTACTCCAGATTTTTCTTAAGAAATGATGTTTCAAATTCCACAGAAAATTCACTTCCTTAAAAATATCCCACTATGACGACGAATTTTGGGTAATTTTGCACTTATCATGCGATGGGTTTTTTTTGAAGATTTGTTTTGGTACTTACGTATTTTTGTCTGAAAAACACGATTTTGATAATGAAAATGTGAACAAACCACTATTTATCGAAATATTTCGAGAAAAAGTTCGAAATTTCGTCTTCTTTTTCCCTTTGTGTTGAATGCATTTACAGCAACTTGCTCTTCTTATTTTGTCTTTGAACACTTTATATACTCATGATGTACTTCAATGACACATTTTTATATAGAAAATTCAACAGGAAATATGATTTTTATGGAGTTTTTCATATTTAGTCAACAAGCATCCCAGATGACGACCATTTAATCGATAGTCAATCCAAATACAAGATGTCAAATGTCAACAGATTGCTTTTGAATGACATTACACACGCTATTATTTTAAATTATATTTTTCCTTCTTTCCACCAAACATGGATAAATCACAAAAAAATCATATTTCTAGTTGACTCATATAATAGAAAAATTAGAAAAAGATGTGTCCTACATTGTATGAATTTTCCAATGATAGAAAAAGAAGGGCAAATTGTTCTAAATGCCATCCAGAAGACAGGCGGAAAAGAAGGTGAAATTTGTAACTTTATAGTGAAATACCATGATAAATAATGGTTTGTTCACATTTTCATTATCAAATTCGTGTTTTTCAGACAAAAATACGTGAGTACCAGAAAAAATTTCGAAAAAAAACCCATCGCATGATAAGTGCAAAATTACATACTGAATTTATATCAATGATACTTCAGTTTCTTCTTTATTAAGGGGTAGGAGACGAGGTAAATATTTGAAATTCCAGAACAGACTCCGTCTTTCTCACTAAATATCTCCGCCTCGCTCGTTCGATAGGCGCATCTTATTACCGCGGAGAAGACATACGAGAAAAAAGTCCCAACTTTTTACAGTTGAAAAATAACACCTACAAACAATCAACCATATCAGGGCAGTTGGAGATTCTAAAAGTTATTTATGTACCAAAGACGAAAAACTGTCTATTATAGTCGAGCCGTGGCCCAGCCGAGGCTATCAAGCAGGCGAGACAATTGAAACATTTTCGCCGAGGTGCATATTAAATTTTTTCGTCGAACTCAACCTCTTTAGTTCGATTCATGCAACATCAACTAAATTATAATGAATTCAAGATTTGAACGAATTCTAAATTAGATATATATGGGTGTGCAATAACCTTTCATGAGCTGTTTGATCTATTTCCAGCACGACTAGTTATTATTGACGCATGCACTGTCATGAATTATGGAAGAAATTCATGTTTTAGTTGAATGTTGGCCATCTTCCTTAGTTTGAATTTTTTAGTTCCTTGCATGAACTCCTATATCAAATTTCAGTTTCATATCATTGGTTTTAGTTCAAAATTCATTCAAGTTTTAGATTTTGCTTGCATGAATCCACCTTTATATTCAGATCACGTGAAATCTATCGGATTTCGTAAATAATCAATTTGGCAACAGCAAATGACAGTTATTGTCAACCATATCCTAGTGACCTAGTGACCACAGCGGACGAGAAAGAGTTTGCGGACGAAAACTACTTGCCATCAAAACTAGTCGATGTTACATTCGGAAATTAGTAAGTAAAATGTAATTTTCTGCAGAGGTAGACGAAAAAAACTGTTACCAAAAATGTCTTCCTTACCTTGCTGGACAAAGTGTGATTATGCCCAGGAGACATGTGAGGTTGCTGCTGTTGCTGGGAGTAGCCATTGTTACCCTGCATGAGATGTCGCTGCGCGGACATAGAGGCAGTAGGGTGGTAGTGATTGTTTGGGGTGGAAGGCCTCGAGTTGGTGGGAGTCAGGCACAAGGTCGAAGCCGACAGCCTTTGCTGGACTATCTTCTGACAAGCTGAAGTATCAAAACAGAAAACACGATTTTTTTCCATCTTTCAGATCGCCTTGCAGGACAAGCTAAAAACCTTCCTACTCCAGCTGCCATATTACAATCGGTAACGTTGATCAACTATGGTCACAACCTCCACAAACCACAGTAGAACCTCGCCACAGGTTCTTTTTCAGAGGTGCCACCTCTGGTTGGTAGAGGTAGAAAAACAATCGTTATTCGGATTGAATGAACTTTTGTTGATTTTCACATTTGGCGCCCGAGCAGGGACAACAATACGATTTACCTTCAACCCAACGAGCAGGGTACACTCAAAATGAATATCTTTACGTCTCAGGTTATGTGGTACTATGCTTCTTCATTCAGTGAAGCAGATTCCATTGTTGACACGCTGCTGATTTGATGATTATATTAGTGTTAATTGAGATATGGGGAGAAGCAAGAATAGGTAAGCTGTCTCTCATACTGAAAGACATTAAATAAATCCGAAAAAAATCAGGTGGGGTACTGTATTAAGATTAAAACTGAGGGCAGATACGAAGTTCAGCAAATGAGGATTTGAGCTTAGCACATGATGTTTCACAGTATGTCTTATGCCACCTCAAAAATTTTCAACCGATATATAAGGAGAATTCAGCACCATTCTCATTCAATTTTGAAAACATATTCTGGATGAAATTCTTGATATATTTATGAATATATTGAAGCAATGCTGAAACTGAATGCTGTTGCTAATTAACATGTTGAGAGTTGAAATATGTTGAATATTACTGGAAAAAATCAGGTTTCAAGGATAACATGAAACTCAGCTGATATAGATTAATGTTTTCAAAATGAGTATGAGAACACTAACATACGTAAGACTTGTGTATTTGCAAAAATTCAAATTTTTGCTAAAAACTAATTGTGCGGAGGAATATGCAAGTAAGTGAGTAAAGATAATGTATTAATATAATACGAAATTAGTCATTTTTTACCAAGTCATCTGCTTTCAACCAATGGACACTGTAATCATTCAATCAACATCAAAAATAGAATCTACTGTCAAAATTGCCTGGCAAATCTGACCATTATGCACCACACTAGCACTGAAGAATGAATCAATGAAAACGATTTTGAATTACAATTCAAACACCTAAACAAGAATACATGGTGAGAGTAAACTGGTCAGATTGATACATTAAGATTATTATAAATAATAATGTATGCCAACTTATTGATAACACTATCTTGCGGCAAAACAGACATGGATGAAATAAAAATAAGGAAATCTCACGAGTGATATTGCGATTTATAGTGGTGATGTTGAACTTTTCACTATCGCTTCATGAAGAAAAATGATGCTACGAAGTTGAATTCAGGTCAAGAGTTGCAAGAAAGAATTGAACATGACTCATAGGAGAACAAATTGAACACTCACAACTAAAAATAAATTTTCTAAATTGTTCTTATCCATCATTTATCATTCGGTTACCCCCTATTCACTATTTACTGATATTTCATCGGAACAGACCCAGGGTGGTTCAAGATTCAGAATTCTGATCACCCTGTATCTGTTCCGATTAAATATCAGTAAATAGTGAATCAACAGTTGAGTAAATCATTAGTTTCGACACAAACGAATCCTTAAGTTGAAAAATCTCGATTTTGATCACCCTATATCTTTGTAATCATTTCCGATAGACCCCAAGTTTGATGTATCGATGAAATCAGTTCTTCAGGAAAAATCTGAAAATGCAATGAAATACAGGGTATTCTATTTGAGACAACAAAGTTGTTGCTACTTTTTGATAGAAGCAGCGACACTGCATTGCTGAAATTATTTTAAATGAAGAGAGCGTAGTGTAAAATATAATAATGCATATTTTCACCCGACTGATTCTCGCTCGTCGTGACATACCCTGTAGATTAATCGAGTACGCTTGCTCAGTTGACTTTTCTCCGCTATTACGCATACCACGTGGGTAGGACAACCGAGCGGGAAGTGAGAAGGATTGAAGCCAAAAGAAAAAAACAGCAGACGACCACTCATATCGGACTCACCATCTTGGAAAACGCGATCGACGTTTAGTCCGTAGGTGGCGCACGTTTCATAATAGGTGCACCTCTTCAGGTCATTGGCTAGCTTTCTTGCACGCGAATCGTCTATCACGCGGGGGTTGTTTTCACTTATCGCATCTGAAAATAAACCAGGATCTGTAACTTCTCAGAATGTTATTATGTGAACGTTACCACAACGTTATAAATAAAACGGCATAAAAAAGATGCGAATGCAACGTAATAAGAACGTTATGAATGAAACGTTTTGAAGACGTTATATGTAGAATGTTTCGAGAACCTTTCAAATGGAACGTTTATTCAGAGTATCCTGAGGAAAATTAATGAAAAGTAAAATTCTTAGGAAGCCCAAGAAGGAACATTTTCAGAACGCTTCAAGTTGACCATTTGCAATCTATTCTGACTGAAATATTATTTAGTAAGTTCTGGACAAAATCTCTACAGGAGATTTAAATGAAATTATGAAACATATATATCAATAGTATAATTATTTGATGTCTGGAATGCCTTCAAGGCAGTCCATTTTGGTTAATTTCCAAGCAAGAACTTCCCATTGCCTATAGGTATCTATATGGAAGCAACTAAGATGATATGAACACGAAGTTCTAAACACTTAACAAAACACCATAATAGGAATTATTACAAGTCATCCCAACGAAATTGTATTCAAGAATGTATTACCCAAACGTTTTTGAGACGTGTTCAAATGGTCATAAATGAAACATTCACGGGGTAGTTTGACCAAAACATTGCAAGTACGTACTAATAGAAACATTTCCAGAACATTAAAAAACAGTTGTCAGGACAAACTTGATCAGAATGTCTTTGGAAAACGTTCTAATGATTTCTTGAACATGGTTCATGACCTCCTTAAGAGAACGTTCCTAGGACATTCTGAGAAGAACGATAACAGGAAAACTTGAAAAGAACGTTTTTAAAACGTTCTAGAAAGGTTGTTTTCAGGACGTTAAAAAAGTGAGATCTCCATGACGTCCTGATGGTGACGTTTATAGGATATCCCAAAAACCAAGCGTTCACAGGACATTTGGATGAAAAATCGCACTTTTGAGACTCACCTTGGGTTCCGACTAGAATCAATGGTACTTCGGCAGCGTTGCGGTAGTGCGACATCTTGGTGTAGTAGTTGAAGATGGCATTGAAAGACGATTCGTTTTCGAGACTGAAGACGAATATGACGGCGTCTACCCAGGTGGTGAACTGGGAACAAAATAAATGAAAATCTCGTTATCTCACGAGCACTCTAGATCGCCGGAGGCATGCAAAACACATCCGAGACAAGTCTGGTCACTTTCACTGCATTCCGATCGTGTAAGGTTGAAAAGTCGATGGAAAAATTTAGATAAAAACAGAAAGTTTTATGGAGAAGATGTGAATTTGGTATAAGTAATGATTGGATTGAATTGTAGACAGTATTCATTATAATTATTCCACTAATCAAGACGGTATTATTGTTTTTGGATGTATGATAAATTGACATTCTTTATACAGGACGTGGAAAGAAATTCTGAAACGAGAAAACCTGATCAGGAATCTGCGATTGAGGTGTATAAAAATAGCAAGTTTCCATCGCTCGAGTGATGAACCCTTGATTGGGTGAAAGTATTAAAAAGGAATAATCTCAGATATAATTATGAACATAAAAAAATTGATATATTTATGAAGAAATACATTGAGAATTCGCATTCTCTATGTGATTTCAGATAAAAACAGGGTTTTATGGAGAAGAAGTAGATTTTGTTCAGTGAAGATATTTTTGAATTGTAGGTATTCGTGATGATTATTTAAAAAAATTGAGACGGCATTATTGCTAGAAGAAGACACCTCAAATATTTCCATCGAAACTGAACTGAGAAAAACAAAGGATTTCAGCTGAATTCAGTAACATTATCAAAGAATATGAGGGCATTGTGGATTCCTCAGGAGTGGTTTGGCTGAAAATAAATTTATTCAGTAGGTACTTTACGAAAGCACTGTATACCGGGTGGCTACGGAAGTATTGCCTACGGAATATCTCAGTTATTGTATGAAGTAGGTTTGTGAAATTCAGAGCGTCGATATAATGACATAAGAGCTAGAATTTGAGCATATTGACATGTTGTAGTTAACTTCCGGTCTGACCGGAAGTAACATCAACTTTCCTATTTTGAATGGAAACCCTATTTTTTTTCTATTCACTTTATTCAGCATTTGATTCCCTTTCTAATGACATATCACAAGTTGGTATCTAACCAGAAACTAGATCAGAAAAAAATTATTATTGAAATTCACCGAGTAGGCCGTGGAAGCAAAATGAAAGCCAAAAAATGACTTTTTATCATATCATTAGAAAGGAATGGTTATGCTGAATAGTACAGGCAAGAAAAAGTTGTATGTTCCTATTTAAGTTATGGGCCTACAGAGTATTGTTTTATTCCCAATTTTTCCAATATTTTTTTTTTGCGGCTTTTAATAACGCCGACGAATGAAAATAAAATATCACAGTAGTAGCAACTGTTATCAAGTGACGTATGGTTTCCATAGCCAACTTTTCAATTTTAGGCTTTCATTTTGCTTCCACGGCCTACTCGGTGAATTTCAATAATAATTTTTTTCTGATCTAGTTTCTGGTTAGATACCAACTTGTGATATGTCATTGGAAAGGGAATTGAAAGCTGAATAAAGCGAAAAGAAAAAAAATAGGATTTCCATTTAAAATAACAAAGTTGATGTTACTTCCGGTCAGACCGGAAGTTAACTTCGACATGTCAATATGCTCAAATTCTAGCTCTTATGTCATTATATCGACGCTTCAAATTTCACAAACCTACTTCATATAATAACTGAGATATTCCGTAGGCAATACTTCCGCAGCCACCCGGTATAATCTCATAAAAACACCTTTGAATGTATCACTAATTTCTACTAGCCTCATTATCTACCTCCCTTGTTGATTGTACTAAATTCAAACATTATAATCAATGTGACCACACCCTGTATAGAACCTTAAACAGAAGTAATCGATCACAGCAACATCTCAGTTAGTAAATGATTCTCTTCGATTCTATTCAAGATGCAAGAATGTTTGGAATGCAATTTAGCGAAAATAGGTCAGGTTGTTTTGGGACCATTGCCAAACTAATTATTTCGCGATAATTACAAATGTGTGAAATACCTAAGGATGGATTAAGAGGAAGGTAATTGAACCTTCAATGGACTTCTAAGGATACATAGAGCATATTTTTTTGGCAACCGTCCGGAAAGTGATCTTTTTTTTGAGAAAGTAGCATTTTTCCGGGAAGTATCACTTCGTTGTTGTCACTGTAACTATGAAAATCTTGGTAGATAAGGTTTTGATGAATGCAGATGATAATTACCATAAAGATTACCATATATAGCAGCGAAATATCGGCTGACAGCTATTTGACATGAAATTAGTTGACATTTTGATTTTTGAAAGTTTGGTACGCAATTATCGCAATAAACTATCGAAAGCAGCTGCGATAGTGAGTTTGAAAATGTCCATACAAAATTTCCAATGTAGCAGTTAGTAGGTATAGGTATTCTGTTCGAATTTCAGGAATTTTAATAGTGGGCTATGGATTTTTTATATAAAAAAATGTTCCAATTGGAGAAACATATCTTTGAATACTACGTCTCCATTTTCCAAAATTTCTCGATTTCCACCATAGACTCGTTCATTACGACATCGAATTAGTCTATATGAATTTTTTCAGATTTTTAATAGGCAAAATGAAAATTTTCATTTTCCCACCTAAAACTTCAGTACGATATAGTCACCAAGACATCTTCGGACGGCCGAAAATTCACGCGAATTATCGCTTTTCCAGTAGAAAATGACACGCTGAATCGAATGAGACTATAATCAGCCCCATAGGACAGATAGTTTTCGAGATATCGACGCTCAAAGTCAGCTTTTCGCTTTTATTGCCAAAAGGAGCACTCCAGTAAGTTACTACGTCCTCATTTTCCAATATTTCTCGATTTTCACCACAGATTCGTTCATTACGACATCGAATTAGTCTATGTGATTTTTTTCAGATTTTTAATAGGCCAAATAAAAATTTTCATTTTCCCACCTGAGACTTCAGTACGATATTGTCACCGAGCCATCTTCGGACAGCCGAAAGTGCCAGGAAACAGCAAAAATTGAATGAATTATCGCTTTTCCGATAGAAAATGACACGCTGAATCGAATGAGACTATAATCAGCCCCATAGGACAGATAGTTTTCGAGATATCGGCGCTCAAAGTCAGCTTTTCGCTTTTATTGCCAATAGGAGCACTCCAGTAGGTTACTACGTCTCCATTTTCCAAAATTTCTCGATTTTCACCACAGATTCGTTCATAACGACATCGAATTAGTCTATGTGAATTTTTTCAGATTTTTAATAGGCCAAATGAAAATTTTCATTTTCTCACCTAAGACTTCAGTACGATATAGTCACCCAGACATCTTCGGACGGCCGAAAGTGCCAGAAAACGGCAAAAATTCACGTGAATTATCGCTAATCCAGTAGAAAATAACACGCTGAATCGAATGAGACTACAATCAGCCCCATCGGACAGATAGTTTTAGAGATATCGACGCTCGAAGTCAGCTTTTCGCTTTTATTGCCAAAAGGAGCACTCCAGTGAGTTACTACGTCTCCATTTTCCAAAATTTCTCGATTTTCACCACAGATTCGTTCATTACGACATCGAATTAGTCTATGTGAATTTTTTCAGATTTTTAATTGGCCAAATAAAAATTTTCATTTTCCCACCTGAGACTTCAGTACGATATTGTCACCGAGCCATCTTCGGACGGCCGAATTTGCCAGTTAAAGGCAAAAGTTCACGCGAATTATCGCTTTTCCAGTAGAAAATGACACGCTGAATCGAATGAGACTATAATCAGCCCGATAGGACAGATGGTTTTCGAGATATCGGCGCACAAAGTCAACTGTTCGCTTTTATTGCCAATAGAAGCACTCCAGTAGGTTACTACGTCTCCATTTTCCAGAATTTCTCGATTTTCACCACAGATTCATTCATTACGACATCGAATCAGTCTATGTGTACTTTTTCAGATTTTTAATAGGCAAAATAAAAATTTTCATTTTCCCTCCTTAGACTTCAGTACGATATAGTCACCTAGCCATCTTCCGACGGCCGAAAGTGCCAGAAAACGGCGGAAATCTACGCGAATTATCGCTTTTCCAGTAGAAAATGACACTCTGAATCGAATGAGACTATGATCAGCCCCATAGGACAGATGGTTTTCGAGATATCGGCGCTCAAAGTCAGCTTTTCGCTTTTATTGCCAATAGGAGCACTCTAGTAGGTTACTACGTCTCCATTCTTCAAAATTTCTCGATTTTCACCACAGATTCGTTCATTACGACATCGAATTAGTCTATGTGAATTTTTTCAGATTTTTAATAGGCCAAATAAAAATTTTCATTTTCCCACCTAAGACTTCAGTACGATATAGTCACCAAGCCATCTTCGGACGGCCGAAAGTGCCAGAAAACGGCAGAAATTCACGTGAATTATCGCTTTTCCAGTAGAAAATGACACGCTGAATCGAATGAGACTATAATCAGCCCCATAGGACAGATAGTTTTCGAGATATCGACGCTCGAAGTCAGCTTTTCGCTTTTATTGCCAAAAGGAGCACTCCAGTAGGTTACTACGTCTCCATTTTCCAAAATTTCTCGATTTTCACCACAGATTCTTTCATAACGACATCGAATTAGTCTATGTGAATTTTTTCAGATTTTTAATAGGCCAAATAAAAATTTTCATTTTCCCTCCTTAGACTTCAGTACGATATAGTCACCAAGTCATCTTCGGACGGCCGAAAGTGCCAGAAAACGGCGGAAATTTACGCAAATCATCGCTTTTCCAGTAGAAAATGACACGCTGAATCGAATGAGACTATAATCAGCCCCATAGGACAGATGGTTTTCGAGATATCGGCGCCCGAAGTCAGCTTTTCGCTTTTATTGCCGTAATAATAATATTTCATGAAGAGGACAAAAACAATATTAACACTAATCAACTAACAAAACACAAAACTTAGGTACCTGATAGCAACAAATAAATTGTAATAAAAATTTCATAATGTAGAATAAGCAACTGATCAAATATTTACGAAAACAATCGAATTTTGAAATTATTCAGCAACTTATTCGTTGAATTGTTCAAATATCTGA